ATAGTATGTGGCTTGGTCCTGTCTTAGCAATGAACACTGGAAAAGTGAAAAACATGGAGATTTCTTATCTTACAGGAACTGTAGTACTACCTTCTGATTCATAAAATGCTATTTGATTGTTCTTTCTGGAGGCATTTATTTTAAGGCTTTATATATTCAAGATATACATATTATACAAGTCTTCCTCATTGTGAATTCATATAATTTACCCAAAACTGCAACCAACCTTTGAAATTAGTCCCCTGTTCCTGTGACTCAATTTCTTTGTCAACTCGTTTTTTTCTTTATAAAATCTATTAAACCATTCTTAGGAATACTTACTGGCAGGAATTTATTTGAGGAAAGACATTGGCTAATCTTTACTCTTCCTACTATATGAAAATGAACTTAAATTAGAGGATGCACTATATCTGCAATGCATGATAAATACAAGATGGATAGAGAATCTGTTCAGTGGTGTCAGCTACAAAAGCAAACATGATAAATGTTAATGCAGTTTTGAGCCCTGGGATAAGCTATTCAGTGCACAAGCATAGCTGAATCTCTTTGCTATGTTGTTATTCATGGCAGCCAAATAAATGTCAATAATAAAAGAGAATTAAAGATTTTCATTTCCCAGAGGCAATCCTCTAATACGGCTTGATCTTTCATTTCATTTGTAATTCGTTCTCATGTCAGGATGCAATCATTCGCCAGGCTCTGGGTGTCATGTTAAGTCATTTAATAATGATTAAGAACATAAAAATGCTTGGCCTGTGGGGCAATTCACAGAAGAGATGCCAATTTGTTATTGTTTTTCCTCCTTTGCTCTTGAATATGGATCAGCTTTTTCCCACCTCCTAACATTAAAATACTAATGGAGAATGGGGAGAGAAAATGTCCCTTAATTTACCATAAGTGACATTCCAGAATGGCACAAGGCAGTGCTAACACACTTTTTAAAACACTAATTAGGAATCATTGTTCCTTAAACCTCACACTGTGGAGTATTTTTAAATGATCACTGCTAAGTTTGTGGCATTTAGCAATAATGTAACAAAATCAGTTTTCTTGGTATTTAATTCTAGAGACCTTTCTCCTTTTGAGATATATATGATGTCTATAAGCCACTTTATATTATTTTATACATGTAGTTCTTTGAATCCTCTTTGCTAAATTGTCTGTGAATCTAAAGTCTTTAAGACCTTGTTTGGTCACCTCTATTTCAATTGAGTATCCATTTTGTATATCCATCTGCCCAGAAGTTTTGTCACATATCAACCATTGTTTCATTGCTTGCAGGCTACTTGAGTTCCAACCTTTTTCTGGGGTGTGTTGGGGTGGGGCGTGTCAAAGAGCACTGGAAAGTGATAAGAGTAAGAAGCCAGGAGTGACAGACAGGAAAGAAAATATGATTCTATACAACATTTAATAAATGTTGAATGAACCTGTTAGGTAGCACAAAAGTCAGGTCAAGGAAGTCATTCCTGTGTTCATAAACTGTAGAAAAACTAACACTAAAGATTTTTATTTCCTACTGGACAGCAACTACTAGTGAGATTTTCATATATCAACACCTTATTATATTAACAATTGTAGTAAAAATATTTTATATACATGTATATATACATAAAATTTGTACATATACAGACATATATGTCTTTATAGAAACTTTATATTTCTCCAAGTTTCTATACTAAATATATGACTAAAATTTGGAAAAAGCAATAGGATTTTTATTCTAAATTGAAAATAATGCATTTCAACTTTCGCTCTTAAGTGACACAGTGAAATAGGTCCACTCCAGAATAAATTGTAGACATTTCTGAAAACTTTCAGAATTTTTTCTGGTCTGTTTGAATTGTGATTTTGCCGAACAGAAGAATATAGATTAGGTCAGAGGTTTTCAAGTGGAAGACAGAGGCTGCCATGTCAGAATCACCTAGTGGGCTTTTGATAAATATAGCCCTGCCTTCATAGAAGTATGTTCACATCAACCTGATACATCCCTATGAAGAGTAGTAGAGTATACATCTACTAGAATTCTCACACTAGAAGATGTGTGAGAATGTGTGTTGTTAGAGTGTGAGGGAAGTAGAGTGTACGGTTGTTTATTGTTGTAAAGATACTTAGGTAATACAGCAATGCTGTCTACTCTCTATCTCTCACTTTGAGATCCATTGGATTAGGTGATTTGATAATGTTGCCCCAGTTTATGATTTTGTGGGATGATAGAAACAGAACCTTTTAGTAGCTAAGCATCTAGTACTTCAATAAGTCAAGCCTTGGTGAATGCTTCTTTCTCTTGATAAATCACAAAGTGTCATGTACTCATTTACTGTTACTAGCAATCTACATATATTATTTTAAATAGCCAAATGCATTTGATTAGTTTATCTTTTAAGATAGTCACATCAGAGTGCCCTTTGTCATTTCCTTATAAGTAAATGGAATTATTGAAGTTACTTGTCTTCATCTTCCTGAGACTTTAAAGAAACTTGTTACCCCATTTGCTAGTTAAGTTTTCATGTTCTTTGAAAATACTCAGTGCTATACATTATAAGAAAAGGTCAATGTGCTTTACAATTCTTGTAGACATAAAGTACAGAACGTGTACAATAGAAAATGCAAACTCTAAAGAAAAACAGCTTTAGCAGCTGGAAGAATAATAATGTCAGCACATCATCACAACTCCTACTCCTACAAAATATTGTTATAAATCACTTTGGAAATGTTATCTGTACTACAGCCAAAACAATTTTAAATGATGATCTTGTTGGCATATATTGCTAATGATGTGAATTTTAAAAAATTAAGTAGCATTCTTTCAGAATGTCTGTATATGACATTCATGGAAAAAAGTTTTTTAGATTTTTAAGAATATCCTTTTTTGAGCATTACCTTACTTTTTGACAACATAAGATGCTCTAGTTTCTTGTATTTTCCCTGCTTCCATCCTGGAATCAACTACTTCTTCCAGTAATCCTGGTCCCTTTAATTAGCAAATGATAGTTAGAAATCCGGGTCTGGATGAAAGATATGCTCATTGCTTATTGAGAATCATTGTTTTGGGACCCTTTTAGCAAATAGGTTAGCAGTACATGTTTTGGCTCTCATTATCTAAAATATATTTACTCGTTGTTCCATCCTAAAGTACTTTTGAATTACCCATACCCTTGTGAGAAAGAAACATATTTACTTCCTAGAGTAAAGTGTTTGTTTACAGTTCTTATCTTTAGCCCTTCAAAGTCTAGTCAAAATATTGTTATCCAGAGTCACTTTATTTTCTATATTTTTTAAAGGCTTAATTCTTCCTCTTTTTTTTTTTTTTTTTTTTTTTTGAGAGATAGAAACAGCATGATCAGGGGAAGGTCAGAGAGAGAGGGAGTCACAGAATCTAAAGACAGGCTCCAGGCTCTGAGCTAGCTCAAACCCACGAACCGTGAGATCATGACCTGAGCCAAAGTCAGACGCTTAACCAACTGAGCCACTCAGGCACCACCAAAGTCACTTTAGGTTAGTTCTTTTATTCCAGCCACTTCAATTTGGTTATATTATTTATTTTCAGTACAGTTAGGTTTATTTCTAAGAGTTTGCATTTCATCTTGGTTTCCTTTCATATCTAGGTTGGTGGGGTTTTTTTAATAAGTACAACCTCATGGTGTCAAGGTTCTGTGTGCTTTGACAAACTCATACAATCATGCAACTACTACTATAGTTAAAATACAGAAAAGTTCCATTTTTCACTTAGTTTTCTAAAGTGGTGTTATCAATTTATATGCCTACCACCAGTATATAAAATGGCTTTTATTTTTCTACATTTTTGTCAATATTTTCTACTGTCCACTTTTTTATTTTAGCTATTCTGGTGAGTATGCTCTAGTTTCTCATTCTGTTTTTAATTGGAATTTCCCTAATTTAGTGAGGTGGAGTACCTGTTCATTTGCTTATTAGAATTTAGATATCTTCTTTTGTAAAGTTGCTATTGGAGTCTCTTGCCCATATTAGATTGTCTTATTGATTTATAATTCTTTTTGCAGTCTGCATACAAGTCTTTTGTTAGATAAATATATTGCAAATATATTCTCCCACTTTGTGATTTGCCTTTTCATTCTCTTCATGGTATCTTTTGATAAATAAAGCTCTTAATTTTAATTTAGTCCAGTTAATGATCTTTTCCCCTATGGGTAGTACTTTTCATATTCTTTTAAAGAAAATCTTTGCATATCCCTAGGCTATTTTTATTTATTACTCTTCATTTGTCACAGTCTGTCTAGAATTAGAATTAATTTTTGTATATGATATGGGGTAGAAGGAAAATTCATTTCTTTTGCCCATATGAATTAACCAGTTGGCCTATCATCATTTATTAAAAGAAATATCCTTTCCATTACTGCAATAAATTAACACCTCTGTCACATTTCACATTACGTTATATCTGTGAGTCTTCTTCTAGACTATTCTATTCCATTGTTTTCTTTATCCTTTTAACCAGTTTACACTCTCTTGATTACTTATTAGTCTTTTTATTTGGTAATGTCAGACTTCCAACTTTGTTCTTCAAGATTGTCCTAGTGTTTCTTGGCCCTTTGCATTTCCACATAAATTTTAGAATCAAATTGTTGTTAACCCCCTGAAATTTTTAATTCTTACTAGAATTTTTTGAATGGAATTATATATTGGATCATAAATCAATTTGGAAAGAATTAACCTATTTACAATATTGTGTCTTCTAATCCAGAGTATTTTTCTCCATTAATTTAGGTGGTCTTTAATTTTTCTCAAAAATGTTAGTTTTTTCAGTGTAATGTTCTCACATATATAACTTTTATAAGATTCCTAGATTTTATAAGATTCCTATTATTTGTTTTTTGTATTTTTTTAAGTAAGCTCTACACCCAACATGTGGCTTGAACTCAACAACCCCAAGATCAAGAGTCATATGCTCTACTGACTAAGCCAGCCTGGCACCCCTCTTATCATTTGTTTTTTGATGCTATCCTTTTTTTTTTTTTTAATTCTGAGGTCAGATCAAGTGTAAAAATAGTCATAATTGTAGAGGTCAGTAGTAAAACCTTTTCATCATTGCTCAGAACTGACTATTCTTTCATATAAACACTACCCCCAATCTCATTCCTCCATCAATAAGTCCTCAGTTATTCACTGTCACCCTTTTTTTTTTTTTTTTAAATTAACTTTGAGAGAGACAGAGACTGCTTGAGTAGGTGAAGGGCAGAGAGAAAGAAAGAGATTCCTAAACAGGCCCTGCACTGTCAACACAGAGCCCAATGCAGGGCTGGAGCTCACAAAACTGAAATCATGACCTGAGCCAAAACAATCAGAAGCTTAACGGATTGAGCCATCCAGGTGCCCCGCTACTGTCACCTTTATACACACAATTGCACACATACTCTCACAACTCCAGACACAGCCCTTATTGTTTAAAAATTACTTTAGCTTCTCAAAACTATAGAGATCAGGGGCACCTGGGTGGTTCAGTAGGTTAACTGCCCAACTCTTGATTTCAGCTCAGGTAGCACAGAGCCTGCTTGGGATTCTTCCTCTCGCTCTCTCTCTGTCCTTTCCTTTCTCACGTGCTCTCTTTCTCAGAAATAAATAAACTTAAGAAAAAAATAGAACTACAGAGATCATGCATCAGGGAGACTGGAAAGTCTTCTGATGCTCAGATTTGTCTCTTCTCATCATTGATCCATTTTGGTAAAGAGCAGATCTCAGGGATGATGCTATCCATTTATAAATGGCATCCTTTTAGATTTCAGTTTCTGTTTGTGTTTTACTAGTATATAAAATTTTTATAATGACATTGTTTTCATTTATTAATTGTAATATATGTCTGTTGATTCTTTTGGGCTTTCTATGTATATTAATGATATCCTATGTGAATAATGACAGTTTCACTTCTTTTTCCCAATCTTGGTATTTATTTTCTGATTTTTTTCTTACTGAACTATTAGCGCAGTGAAGCACAATGAATATGAGTACAGTTGAAATGGTTACAGTGAGCATCTTGGTCTTATTCCCAGTCTCCTGTGGGAAAACTTCAGTATTTCATCAAAAAGGATGTGGGGGGGAGGGGGGGATGGGCATGGAGGAGGGCACTTGTGGGGATGAGCACTGGGTGTTATGTGGAAAATAATTTGACAATAAACTATTTGTAAAAAAAAAAAAAAAAGAATGAAGCTTGTGGTAGTCTCTGTATACTCTTTAACAGATAAAGGAGGTCTCCTTTTATTAGTAGTTTGCAAAGAGTTTTGTTTTTGATGATGGTAAAATATTTTTATTCATGAAAAGATGTTGAATTTTATCAAATAACTTTTCTGCATCTATTAAATATTACTGTATGATTTTTCTTTCCTTCCCCCCTTTTTAAAAATTTTTTAAAATGTTTTATTAATTTCTGAGAGAGAGAGAGAGAGACAGCGTGAGCAGGGGAGGGTCAGAGAGAGAGGGAGACACAGAATCTGAAACAGGCTCCAGGCTCTGAGCTCGCTGTCAGCACAGAGCTCGACGCAGGGCTCGAACCCACAACCTGAACCGAAGTCGGACGCTTAACCGACTGAGCCACCCAGGCACCCCTTTTTTTAATGTGTGAATCATAGCTTGATTTTGGAATGGTAAACCACCTTTGCATTCTTCAGGTAATCCCATAATATTCTTTTATAGTCATGATATTCTTTTATATATTATCAGATTTGATCTGATTATATTTTTCTTAGATTTTTGCAGTGTTATTATGAAAGATTTTGTTTTATAATTTTCCTTTCTTGTAACATCATTGTTAATTTAAGTAGGAACATTATGATGACCTTATAAAGTGAACTAGGAAGTGTCCTTTTTCTGTTCTGGGAGAGTTTTATAAGCTTAAGGTTGTTTTTATGTAAAAATTTGAAAGAGCTCACCCATCAAAATATCTGGGAATATCAAGAGAATAGTTTGTTGGATGGTTTTTCATTACAGATTCTTCTTTAATTGAATAAGAATGTTCATTTTTTTCTTTTTTCTATGTCAGGATTTTTTAATTTTTTAAAAAATCTTTTTACTTTTGAGAGAGAGACTGGGCATGAGTGGGAGAGGGTCAGAGAGCGAGAGGGAGACACAGAATCTGAAGTAGGCTCCAGGCTCAGAACTGACAGCCTAGAGCCCCATGTGGGGCTCAAACTTAGAACCGCAAGATCATGACCTGAGGCAAAGTCAGATGCTTAACAGACTGAGCCACCCAGGCACCCCTATGTTAATTTTGTAAAGTTGTATTTTTCTCAGAATTTGTCTCTTTCATCTAGCATAAAATTATATATAATATTCTCTCATCTTAATTACTGGAAGATCTGTAGTGATATTCCCTTTTTAATTCTTAATCTTAGAATTAAATTTATGCTCTTTCTCTTTTCCTTGATCACTCTTCCTAGAAGTTTATTTTAATTTGAATTTTCAAAGAAGTAAATGCCAAGATTATTAGACTATCAAGAGAGTTATTGAAGGAAACACCTGTAAGGGAAGATAAGTTATGAGCCAGAGGAAGCAGGGAGACCTGTCAAATTGTGGTACAGTTCTAACCCCTGTGTTGCAGTAAAAGAAGATTGGGCAGAAAGAGGCATGGATTATAATATGGTTAAGTTTTGACAAAGCCAGAGAGGAGTCCGCAAGCTGAAATTGCCCCATAAGGAAAGTTGCCCAAAGTAGTCCCACATATCTCCAGAATAGGTCTCCATGCTGTTTCTGATGTGCTCATGGAGAACATGGCATCAGTATGAATGCAGTGGTGAATTTCAGAGCATTGCTCCACCTGGCACATCTGAGAGGCAAATTTTCATGGCCATGACAAGGTTTATCAATTTTATTAGTCTTATAAAGAACCAACCCTGTCTTTGTTGACTTTTTCTGGGGAATATTTGTTTTTTTATTTTTTTAATTTTCAGGTACTTTTTTCTTATTTCTATGGTCTCCATGTTTAACTTACAAATTTTGGTATGTCTGTTTGCATTATATTCAGTTCAAAATATTTTCCAGTTCCTATTGTGATTTTTTCTTTAATCCATACGTTATTTAGGAAGTTTTGCTTAATTTTTAAATATCTGGAATATATTTGTGATTTTCTAATTATCTTTTTGTTTCTGATTTCTTATTTAATCCATTGTGGTCAGATATGCAGAATGATTTTAGTTCTTCAAAATTTATTGAAATTTTGTCTTACTGTACATCGTATGGCCAATTTTATCCATATTCTTTGTGCATTTGAAAACAATGTATATGCTGATATTCTTTTTTTTTTCTGACATCTTTTAATATAGTCTTTTTGTATACAGTAAGGTCAAGTTTGTTAAGTTTGTTGTCCAAATCATTTATATTCTTGTTTAGTTGTCTACTTGTTTTATCAGTTGTTGAGAGACATTAATTTAAGTGTCCTGCCATGATTGAGATTTGTATATCTCTCTTTTTGGTTCTATCTAATTTTTCTTTATATATTTTGAAGCTATCTTTCATGTATAAATTACATATACATGCATACAGTTTACGTGCATATAAGTTTAAAATATCTTCCTGATAGGGGCGCCTGGGTGGCTTAGTCGGTTAAGCATCCGACTTTCACTTAGGTCATGATCTCACGGTTCGTGGGTTCGAGCCCCGCGTCGGGCTCTGTGCTGACTGCCAGCTCAGAGCCTGGAGCCTATTTCAGAGTCTGTGTCTCCCTCTCTCTCTGACCCTCCCCTGCTCACGCTGTCTCTCTCTCTCTCTCCTAGAAATAAATAAAAATAAATAAATAAAAATTAAAAATAAATAAAAAATAAAATAAAATAAAGTATCTTCCTGATAGATTGAACCATTTATCATTTGGAAATATCCTTCTTTACCTCTAATGATGCTTGCCTCAGTATCTTTTGTATCTATTATTAGTATAATTATGCAAGCTTTATGTTGTTTTAGTGTTTGCATGGTTTTTCCATCCTTTTACTTTCAATGTTCCTAAATAAAAGATTTTTTTTGTAATCAGAATGCACTTTTTATTGTTTTTTAAATTCATTCTGACTACTTTTTAATTGGAGTCTATTGATATTTAATATGTTACTAATATAATTGGATTCATATCTCACATCTTACTCTTTTTTTTTCTATTTACCTCACATGTTTATCTTTTCTTCTTCTTCTTCTTCTTCTTCTTCTTCCTCTTCTTCTTCTTTCCTGCTTGTTTTGGATTGATCAAATATCTTTTATTCTCATTTTCTTTTCCATTTGCTTGGTAGTTGTATATCCTTTTGATGTTTGCCCTAAAAATTACAAAATGTATCCTTGACTTATTAAAGTCAAATATAAACTATAAGGCTTGCCACTTCTCCTACAATGGCAGGTCCTAAAACATTTCAATTCCATTTAAGACTTCTTACCTTTTGTATTATTGTTGTTGGTCACCTTAATTGTTAATGCCTTGTAGTGACAAAATACTGTTGTCATTTTGTGCAATTGAATTTTACTTTTTCCATTGTTTTTCTTCTCTTCCTGCATTTCTGGTTTTATTTAAGTAATTATGAATTATTTTATCATTTTTCTTTTGCCTACACAGATTTCAGTATTTCACTCTGCAAATTCTCTTACTTTTTATTTGCAGATATTCTTTATTTTGCCTTTTAGTAAGTATAGAACTCTACATTGGAAATTATTTCTTTGACTCTTTAATGATGACCTTCTATAATCTTTGGATTCTCTTATTTTTGTCAAGAAGTCACTTGTTAGTCTTATCCGTTCTTCTTTAGGTCTATTTCCATTTTCTCTGCTTTTTAGAATTTTTCTTTGACTTTAACTTTGTACTTGCTTCTTTTTTTTCTTGTATTTATCCTGCTAAGGTTTTTAGTACTTTTTTAATCTATGGTTGATGACTCTTGTTAGTTTGGGAGATTTTCCAGCCATTATCTCCTGAGATACTGCATTCCTCTCCTACCAATTGGGACACCAGTTACACATATCTTAGGCGTTTTTATTGTGTCCCATATGTCTTTTATAATCTTTTTTGTATTTTTTATCATTTGTCCCCCTCCAGATTCAGATATATACTTGTAGAGTATTCAGATTCTATATAT